TAGAGTTGACTTCTGTGAGTCCCACACAGCAGCCCAAAGGGGCATAAGGCAAGGTGCCATCACTTCCCACACAGTATAGCTGTGTGACCTTGGGTTAAGTCGCTCCAACTCTTAGAACTTGGTTTCCTCATCTGCATAATGGCCATAATCACCCACCCGCCTTAACAGACAGTGACCGTGAAGGGACTTCATTGGCTCTGATGTAAAAAAAGCTCTTTTCCCTCCTCTGTCATAGTGCCTATCCAGAGGGTCACTGGTAATGCAGGCCTGGAGGACATTTGTTGGATGCATACGAGTCACGAACCTTCGGACAGCCCTTTAAAGTTTACCAAATGCCCCTACACTCTAGAGTCGTCACTTCTCCCAACAGACCTTTCAGAAGGCAGGGCTGCCCTTACTCTTGGTCTTAGTTTACAGTCAAGGAAACTGAGGCCCATCTTTTATGGCTCCCAGTGGGCCAAGGGGTTGGGGCGCTTTCCGCTGACAGCTCTCTGTCTTCTTGTCATTTGGAGAGAGCAGGCCTGGAAGGGCAGCTCCGCCGCCAGCTGCGGCCCAGATGTGGAGGCCTGGCCGGCCACAAAGGAGGTGGGTGGGTGGGAACATCCTGCCATTTCCTCCCTCGAAGACAAATGGCTCAGGGGCCACTGGAGGCTCTGGAGGTTGTGGCTGGATTAGGAGGCTCCCCAGAGCCTCAGTGAGGCGGGAGCCATGCTCGTCCTGAAAACAGCTCCTCTGTGTGAGGTGGCCACTGGGAGGATGTGGTCCGAGGTCCGTAAGCGGCCTCCCCTCTCCTCAGAGCATGACTCTCTAAATAAGTCTGTTAAGGCCTTCAGTCCTGAAGGCCCTCCTGCTGGTTTCAGTTGGTTTTGGCGGGGCGGGGGGGGGTACGGACAGCATTTTGAACTCTTTCTGATGGCTGTGGAGTGAACAGACACACATTCACACACAGAGAACCCATACACATGGTGTATACACTCATGCACCCGTACACACGTACACACACACACCATGCTTGTGTGCGCACACGCGCGTTCATCCACACCTCCCAAGACCAGAAGTGAGCTCCCTGGAGCCCTCGGAGCTCCCTTAAGCCCCTCAGGGGAGGAGGGAAGGAAGCCGGGTGTCATATATCATTTCTCTCCAAACAGGCGGTGTCCTCTCTGCCCAAAGTGGGGGTGGGGATGGTCGGCAACCAGGAACGGGTCTCGGGAAAGAGCCCCTCTGACCCATATTTCACAGACACCCCAGACAGAGCCTGCTGTCAGGAGCGCTGTCTAATTTCCTCCCCTGACTGCCGGCCCAGATCCCCCCAACAAAGAGGGGCATTGTGTCCTCCTCACTGCCCCTGGCATCTGCTCCACAGAGATCCGTCAGGGGACGCGCAGAGGGGATTTGGGGGATGAAGGCGCTGTATCCCCCAGAAGGGCCACAAATTCTTGAGCAGAAAGAGCTTGGTCTGGGCCGAGGGGTCCAGCCTCCCAGCAGTCCTCTGGGCCCCCCTCCTCCACGCCCTGGAAGAGTTTCTCCTCAGGTCTTTCAGGGAAGAGGTGGGTGAGGAAAACATTTACAGGGTAGTGGCTGCTGACCAGAAAGCATTTGAAGGGGGCTGGGTCTCCCCACCCTCTCTCGGAAGAAACGCAGCCTTTAGCCCTTGGTCTCCCCTTCTGGGGGGGACTTGCCGGCCTGTGGGGGCAGCCTTCAGGGAAGTAGTACTTGGTTTTTGCTGCTCGACATCTTTCGCAGGTTGGGCATTCTGGGAAGGGCATGGGGGTCCCGGGAGGAAATGCTGAGCTTGGACAGAACCAAGGGAGAGTAGCTGGCGAGGGGGAGGCTCTGGGACCAAGAGCCATTGAAAGACTTCCAAGAATGCGGGCCAGCCCTGCTCTGGGTGTCCACTTTCTGATTCCCTCCTGGGGACACCTACCGAGAGGCTGCTCCTCTCCAGGTGCCAGGCCACTGGGTCAAGTCCTCAGGATGGCCTCCCGTGGGGACTGTATGTGTATTGGCTGGGGGTGGGGGGGGCGGTGCTTCAATAGCTGAATCACGAGCACAGGGTGCACTTGGATGGTGGGGGAAAATGTTTGCAGTCACAGCGTGGAAGTGGACAGGGCTTTGCACTGGGTCAGCAAATCCAAGGCGAACATGGAGCCGGCATCCTCCACGCCCTTGACCTCCATCACTATCCCCTGGGTCTTCTCAGCAGGGCTTCTTATCTGGACAGCTTCGTGCTTTGAAAACATTTTGTCCCAAGTGTCTGTTCATCTTTTGAACTCAAGGCAGAGCAGGCTCTTAGAATGCTCAGGAAATTGGCCCCCAGAGGGTAAATGGCTTGCTTAAAGTCACACGGCAAACAAGTAGGAATGCAGAGCAGAGCCCAAGACACAGGCCTCCTTCTCTTTATTTTGTACTTTGTTGTCACTGGGTTGCAGCCTTCCTGTAGAAGAAGAAAACTCTGTCTAGAACATAGTGTGTGTGTGTGTGTGTGTGCGTGTGAGAGAGAGAGAGAGAGAGAAGAGACAGAGAGAGTGGGGGACAGAACAGACAGACAAGAGACAGAGGGGTTTCTCTGAACCAGGCCCTGTGCTAGGTTCTCTGTAGACCGGACCCCATTGTCCTGGGGACAGGCTGCCTCTATCTCCACTCACCATGCCCAGGACTTCGCACATAACTGGCACTCAAGAAATGTTTTCATGGAATGAATGAATGAATGAATGAATGAAGTCAACCCTCCCATCAACCGGTGAGCAAAACACCATCTCTATAGAAGCACTTTTCAGCAGATGTTTTCAAGCACAAGTTCTGCAAGTCCCTGGGATGAGAAAATGAGGTTCAGAGAAGTGAAGTCACTTCATGAAAGTCACACAGCCAGGCAGTAGCAGAGCCTGTGTGGGAGCTGAATTCAGTGTGCTAGTCTTTACAGCCCGTGGTGGGGGGGGGGAGGGGGTGCAGAGGAGGGAAGGGGGTTGGAGGAAGGGATTCCTCCTCCAGCAATGCAGAGGGCAGGAAAGGAAAGCAATGTGAAAGGAGCAAGGTCCCAGAGGCAGGCGGCCCGCTCTGCTCTCTAGCCAGGTGTGCTGGGTGCTTTAGACAGGATTTGTGTTCCTGGAAAACCGGTTTTAAATCACTTTTAAAAACACAAATAAACCCATCCTTTTCAGCCACCGGGGAAGCCTGCAGCTTGACGGAAGTCTCCAGCACGTTTTCTTTTACACCACAAGGGACTCTGTAGAGACTGGGGAGTTTGCCCTCCTGGATTTTCTCAAAGCGTGGTCAGTCTGCAGGATGGTAGAGAAATCCCACCGTGGGGCTCTGGCCCAGATGAGCACAGCTCTTCAGGGGGGCCTGCAGACCCAGCTGAGCCTGCTGCCTTCCCAATAATGCTGGAGTTAAGCCCAGCCATGGGCCCCAGCTCCGGGGACAGGCTGGAGTCCTGAGCCAGCAGCTCCGGTTAGGAAATTAATAAAGAAAGAGAAGCTCTTGCAGCCAGGCCCACGGTGAGAGACGAGTTAGGTCATGTCTCTTTCTGTTCAATCGGATATTAGTCCCGACCCTGATGTCACCTTCAAGCTATTAAACATCACCCTCAGAAATTCAGCGTGAATTGCTCAAGGCTCTTATCAGGCGTGCCTCTGAGCTTGCTGTCATCAGGGGCCAGGCCGTGATCCTGCTTTTGTGCCAACTGCAGGTCAAAGGGGAGATGTTCCTTTAGAATTCAGGCAAGACTCGGGCTGGGTGTGGGGGAGTGAGTGACAGAGAATCTTGGTCCTTTGGCCAGAATCAGAGATCATTTCCTTGGGCCACAAAAACAGGGTGGGTGGCCAGTGTCTCTCTTTCGGCGTGGCATGGCGGACCTGGTGGACTCAAGAGACCTGGATGGCATGAAGCCAGCCAGCCTAACCAGCTTCTGGACCACAGCCTCCCCTACGTCGTGGGCTGTGTGGCCAGCAATGGGCACTTGCAAGCTGGGAAGCTAGGCGATGCCCATAGGTTAGCAATTCCCTCTTCCATCCATCCGTCTATGGCTCCGTGCACATGGATGGACATCCAGTGCAATAATTATTTTTTGAGCACTTACTGTGTACCGGGCATCATGCTAACATCTGGAAGGAAAACAGTCAGGGAAACACAACCCCCTTTCCCTCCTCTGGCTTGGAGATCAGACCACAAATGAACACGCAAACAACAAAGACAAGAATTATAAATTATGGCACTAGCCGTCAAGAAAGAAACACAGGTGGGAAGACAGAGATCAAAGGGTAGGAGTGGCCTAGGGAGGATGTGGCAGTAGAGAAGGGTGTCAAGATATTTTTGAAGGTGTCTGTTCAGGTTTTACAGTGAAGGGGACTGAAAGGGTACAACCAGGAAGAGAAGGAACATGGTGAGAGCCCAGAGCCGTGGTGGCCAAGAGCTGATGTGATTGGCGATTGCTGTGCTGGTAACTATAAGAGATTAGCTGGTGGAGAATATATAGCTTTCAAGGCAAGGAAAGAAAGCCACCCACCCCAAGCTCTCCTGGTCACTGGAACTAGGGTGCTTTGGGGTTACAGATAGGAATGCGTGGATCCTTGCCTGACACCCATTCTTTCCTTAGACTAGAGTCACTATCAGAAATGCATGCATTCTTCGCAGGGCCCCAGCCCAGGCAGGTAGATTTCTGAAGCCCTGAGCCTCACTGAAGCCCTTTTACTGGGAAATGGATCCCCTATTCGCTTTGCTTCCTCTCTGCCTCTCTCTGAAGGGCAGTCGCACACTTGCTTGTCCTTGATGTCCTCTCAAGGATGGAGAAACCCATTACTGAAAAGTTACTATATGGGAATTCTTGGCTGTTTGGATTCCTACCAAGCCCCCCTTTGTGTCACTGTCACTGGTTCACATCGGGGAGTCGTCAGTGGGTGGTCTTGCTTCTCTCGTACAGCTTGGCACCCGAGATGAGGCAGAGGATTCTCACTCATTTGAGGAGCGGTCTGTTCTAGCTACCGTTCACTGGTCAACCAGATGCTGGTGCTGCAGCATGGGCGGAGCGCAGGGACTGCTCCAGAGAAACCAGAAAACATCTGATGGACGTGCGTGTGCACCTCTCGTTTCTCCATGAGACTCCCCACAACAGAGTTCTTAACTGTGTTTATTGGGGGAATTTATTTTCTCACATTGAAAGAGACTTTTTTTTTCTATTGGTTTTAGAAATTAATGTTGCTGCTTGATGTTGAAAATTAGTTGGGTCATATTCGTACATTAAAATGTGCTCTGTGTTCCTTTCCAGGAGTCCCTTCAAGTGCTCCTAGATGCCTAAGTCCTTGGAAAGGGAATGAACCAGGAATGTAGGAGAGAAATCACATGGGGGGCCCATGTGTGTATGCAGAAGGGTGAGTGGTTTGGTGTTGCTGGAGCACAGAATTGTGTGGCCGGGGTGGTGAGACAAAGTGGTAGAGGTAGGCAGGGGCGAGGGCAGGGGAATTTTGGAATCCGGCGAAGAGTTTTGAACTTTATTTTGTAGATGATGGGATGCCATTGACCAATTTTAAATCTGGGGTGATCAAAGTTGGATTTTGTGTGTGTGTGTGTGTATGTGACTGTTCTAGGGGATGGACTTTGCGGAGTCTCAGATCAGAAGGAAGGAGAGCTCCTGGAGGGTTTCATTCAAGTGAAAGATGTTGACAGTCTGGACAAAGACAATGGCGTTGGAGAGACAAAGATCACAGTGGGAATGAGGAGAACCTGCACAGGAAGTGAAATGAGCAAGACTTGGTAATTGATTGGCTCTGCGCTGCAAAGCAGTATCAACAATGTGTCCTCAGTCTCCAGGATGCATGAATGGGTAGGTTGTGGTGTCGCCAGCTAATATAGAGAATTCAGAATACAGAATATGAGGTTTAGAATCTCGGGGTAATGGAGATTTTCTCTTAAATATTTTGAGTTTGAGATGCCTGTAGTCACCCAGGTGGTAGGAGCAGTAGGGAGCGGAATATGAAAACTTAAGCTCCCAGGTCCTGGGTGGGGAGCTTTGGGCTGGGGTCAGAATGCCTAGATTGAAATCCCAGCTTTATCACTGGTGGTCAGTGTTCACACAGTGGTGCAACAGTAACAAATGATCCCCACATAACGGCTTACGGCAAACTTCTCTGTCCTCAACTGATATACATGAAGGTTGTGGGTTTGGTTTTGGCTTCGTTCTACACTTTCTTATTCCGGATCGCAGGCTCATGGTGGAATCCTCATCCCAGCCTTGTGCAGAGGGAAAAGCGCCATGGCAGAGACATGAGGACTCTAAATCTTTCGCTAGCTGGGTCGCTCAGCTCTTCTATTCACATTCTATTGGCCAAAGCCAAGCACACGGACAAGCCTGGGGTCAATGAAGTGGGGAAGTACACTCCTCCCATGGGAGATACAGCATATGGCAATGATCAGGGAGCCATATTGCCCCAGTGGGGAAGGGAGGAAGTTGTTGGGCCAAATCGTATGCTCTACCACAACCACTAAACAGCTGTAAAACCTCGGTGGTTTACTCAACTTTTCCCTGCCTTGGTCACCTCATCAGTAAAACAGGAATTCTGGTACTCACTCTTGGGATTGTTATGTAAAGCACTTAGAATAGTGCCCAACACAGTACAGAGTAAACAGTATATGAATGTAGGTGGATGGAAGGGACGAGGGGAGGAGGAGTTCTCTCTCCATGGGTACAGCGTTTCAGTTTGGGAAGATGAAAAAGTTCTGGAAAGGGATAGTGACCACAGTTGTACAACAGTGGGACAGTACTTAACGACACAGAACTGTATGCTTAAAAATGGTTAAAATTCTACGTTATGCATATTTTACCCCAATAAAAAACATGTAGGTAGATGGAATCATCTGGGCAGAGCGTGAAGAGTAGGGAAGGCAGTAGGAAGAAGGCAGAAATTCGGGAACTAGCAGTGGGGGCAAAAGCATGGGAGACAGAGAAGGAATATTTTGGATAGACAAGGAAAAAAAGCAGGAGAGGCCGATATCCTCTGAAGCCAGGGGAGTAGAGTTAAGAAGGAGTGTTGGAATGCTCGAGGGTGTCTGTTTTGCTTGTCTTTGAACCTGAACCTTCTCTTCAGCACCTTGATTTTGTGGGTCTGCTTTCCTCTGCCAGCTCCTGATGATGTCATTTCTGGTCAGTGCCCACGCTGTGCCCCGACTGCCTCAAGGCCGAATCCTGGCCTGGTCTCCTCTCTGGGCTCCCTCCCTCCCCACTCTGTAGCCAGTTCTCTTTTGTCTGTGGCTAACATCTTGGTGAGACCAATCTTTTTAAAGTAAAAAGACATAGGATTGAGGACATTTCTTCTTTTTTATTTTTTATTACTATTTGTGGGTACTGTTCTATTCTGAGACCACAAAACCTCCAAATTCTGAACTTTAAAATTAGGCGGGGACGGGGGGCACCTGGGTCACTCAGTCTATTGAGCATCTGATTTTTTATTTTGGCTCAGGTCATGATCCCAGGGTCATGAGATCGAGCCCCGCGTCAAGTTCTGTGCTCGGTGTGGGAGTCTGTTTGAGATTCTCTCTCTCCCTCTTCCTCTGCCTCCCACTACCCCTCAATTAGGGGTGATTAGTTTATGGTCAAGATTCCTTTATTAACAAAAGAATTCATCTTCTGTTTACAGAACTTTAGTGCTTTGATAAGCCATAGGTGAGGCAACCCGACAGCTAACATTTTATAAGGGGAAAGGAGCACAACACAATTGCAAAGGGAGGAAAACATAGTTTTTCCAATGATAATGTTTGCACCCCCACATTTTGAAGAACCTAAAGGGGGATACCTTGGTCCAAATGATTTCTTCCCTTTTTTTCTTTGTTTTTAGACATCGTCCAGGTGATCATCACACGAACCTCAGACAGCTACACACAGAAAGAATGCGCTTCTTAGCACTGCAAAGAAAAAGGCCCGAGAACTATCCTCTTCTATTGATTTTATTTCTCCAAGAGTTTTCTTACTAAGTGAATTAACCTTGCACTGTTAACTTGATGTAATCTTAAGAAAATATATGAAATATGCTTTAGAAAAAAAATGACACGTGCTCTAACCAGCCATCTCATTTGGCAATCATTTTCCAGAACTGTTGTCCTTTCGGGATGGGGACCTGGGGTTCTTTTTACATCTGAGTGACTGAATCTACACACAAGAGATCCAAACTCTTGCTGACCTCCCTCTGCAACCCCAGTTGGTATCGGAAGACACAGCACTGAGGCCGACGGGGGTCTCTCTCCAAGGCCCAGGTCACCCCAGGCTGTCTGGCCATCTGTCCTGGAGCGTCACCCCAAAAGATCTGGGCGGTCCCCGTACATAAACTTAGCAGCTCCTCCCATCCTAACAGCAATCATGGAACACACTGGAAGGATTCAGATGCATTCTGTGAAGAAAGGGGATTGTTTTTTTTGTCCCCATTTGCAGACAGAGTCTGTTGAAAGCACAGGCTACTTCCACAGCAAGGTTCCACATTTCCAGGCTGTCACTCACGGGGCTTAGTACGATCTCTTCATCCTCGGAACATGGGGGACACTTTCCATCCCTCAACTCAATAATGCGAGCATCTGGATAGGTGTTCAATCCCCAAACTGTGGCCTTAAGAAGAACAGCTGTTCCGTGGCTCAGGGGCGCTGCTCAGCAGTCCCAGCTGTGTCCCCAATTTGACTCCGAAGAGGCAGGAGCTGTCCTGGGTCTGTTCTCAGCCACGCAGTCAAGCCCGTTTGAACAGGCCCGCATGGGGACCACCCACACCAGCTGTTTTTCCGACAGTCTTCCTCCAGCCCATGTTACAAACTTACTCACTTAGCCAACAACTTTGGACTGGGTTTCTGATGAGCAGCAGCTGAGTTTCTCTTCTCAACTCTCCTCATACTGATTCTCCCTGGGGTTTTGGGACACCTGAGGGCTCCCCAAAGCCTCAGATACAGAACCCAGAAAGGAAGGGTGGTCTAGAGTGTGTGTGTGTGTTCTAGTCATTTCCTTCCTTTGGAGCATTTGCTTTCCCAGGTCACTAGCTGGTCCTAAGGCTCCTCTCCCAGCAGATCAGGTGGTATCCAGGCCTGAAGGAGGGCTCGCTGGTGTCAGAGGGAGGTGGTAGCAGGAGAGGGGGCAGCAGCCGAGACAGCCCGAGCAGCAGTGTGCCTGGAGCTGTTCCCCAGATTTGCATGGGTCCAGTCGGGCTGCTGTATGATTCCATGAGAATTGTGAGAAGCAACGGCCTTGGGGAAGGGGCTGCTAAGACAGAGCAAAACTGGATAGAACTTTCTGGGAAACTTCCAGGCTCCCAGGGATGCTGGACAGCTTCGTGCTTAAGAGTTATTGCAAGACGTAGAGAGGTTGCCCTGGGGTGGGTGGGAGAAGGTGAAGGTGGGATTGGGGTGAGGACAGGGGTGTTGGTAGTTGGGTAGGGGGCTCGGTCCTCAGTCTTTCTTTCTCCGTGGAGAATCTCACTCTGAACTTGGAGAGGCGGCAGAGTCCCCATCCTCGGGGTCCTGCCCATTGGGGGAGATAGGCTGACCCCCTTTCACACGCTTCCACTTCATCCTCCGGTTCTGGAACCACACTTTGACCTGACAGAGGAAGCAAAGGTACCTGGTCACTTCAAGGGAGGTGTAATTACCTTCCCACATTGACGCTCAAGACAGAAGGTTGCCTTCCACGGACCCCAGCTTGAACCTCCGCTTGTCCTCCTCCACCCCTCCAAAGACACCAGGAATGGAGACAAAAGGGAGGACACATCAATCAGAGACACATCAATCACACCCAGAGGTCTGTCTTGTGTCTCCCTAGCTTTGTGTCAGAAAGACTGCTGGTCTGGGGACAGGGTCTAAAAGTCACCTTGGCATTTGGCCCCACCCCCTTTCATATGCCCCGCCCCTCCAGTGCCAACACCTCCTCCCTCTAGCTTCTGTTACCCGAGGGTCTGGGAGCAGAGGCTCACCAGCCTTATCCGCAAGCACATTCATAAAGCACTTGTCAGTTTAGATAGCTCTGGTCCGCATATTTTCTCATCTCAGCTTCAGCATTACCTGCCAGGTGGGGTCATGACCCTGAGACCTGGAGAGGTTAGGAGATGTGTCCCAGAGGTCACAGGGCGAGGAAGTGGTAGAGGCAGGATCTGAGTTTTAGTTTTAGTTAAGCCACTGAGCCACCTAGATGCCCCGGAGTCTTAGTTTTCTAAACCAAGCACTCTGGCAGAGCTCCTCATCAACTGAAAGCTGCAATCAAATATTATTATTATTATTATTATTATTACAATACTTTATTCCATGTTAGAGCATGGGTGTGGGTTGAATGCTCTGAGGGAAAGCCCCAAACAAAGGGGCTAGGAAGTTTTTTTAGAGGTGTCCAGGAACCACCTGGCGAACTTACTAGAAATGCATATTCCCAGGCCCACTTATTGTTCCTACAAAGTCGGTCTTCAGAGTTATGGAATCTGCATTTTCTTTTTCTTCTTCCTCTTCTTTTTTTTTTTTTTTTAGTTTTTTATTTTATCTTTGAAGTGACCTCTACACCCAGCACGAGGCTTGAACCCATGACCCCAAGATCAAGAGTCACCTGTTCCACTGACTGAGCCAGCCAGGCACCCCTTCGAACCTGAATTTTAAACAAGGCTTGAGGTGATTCCAGTGCACATTCAAGTTTGGGAATAACCAGATCAGAGGTTCCAACCCTGGCTGCACTTAGGGGCCCTGTGAAAAATGCGGACGTCTGGTCTCCATCCCAGACCAATGCAAACAATCTCCAATGCCAGACATCTGTGTTATTAATCTCTCTGCCCGTGATTCTCAGGCAGAGCCACATTTGAGAACCACCGGACTGGGCCGAGGGAGAAGACACAGGAGAAGGTTCAAGGAGGAGTGGTGGGAAGGGAGGGGGGTTGAGAGAGCAGAGGGAAGGAGGGATGGCCAGAGGAGGGGGACCGCCCCCACGCCAGACAGCACCTGCCGCTCAGAGAGGTCCAGGTTCACGGCAATCTCGTATCTCCGGAGCCGGGTCAGGTAGTTATGGTGAGCAAACTCGGCCTCAAGCTCCCGAAGCTGCTCCTTGGTGAAGGCTGTCCTCTCCTTGCGAGCCTTGCTGCCGCCCTCAGGTTTCCCTCGGTTCTCCTGGTTGTCTGGGGAGAAAGCATCCCAAACAGGAAGATGAAGCCGCAGAGGTTCCCTGTTTTGTCCTTAAAAGCCAGGGCAGCCTTTCCTTGTCTCTCTTGTTTTTATTTTTATTTTATAGTAAAGATTTTATTTGAGAGAGAGAGAGAGAGAGCATGCACGAATGGGGTGAGGGACAGAGGGAGAAGCAGACTCCCTGCCGAGCAGGGAGCCCCATGTGGGGCTCGATCCTGGGACTTGATTCCAGGACCCTTGGATCATGACTCCAGCTGAATGCAGACACTTAAGGGCTGAGCCACCCAGGTGGCCCGACCCCAGACTGTTTTTTCATCCCCAAAGCACGAGAAGCTGTTCTTGGCTATTTAATGATTTCTACTATCCAGCTTCCACCCCCCCTCCCCTGGCCCCGCCGTTAGACATTAGTAGTGGCTATAAATCTGTGGGGCAAGAGGTTCTAAAACTTAGGCTCTCTGTCCTCAGTGACATCACCATCACCGGAGACCTGTCAGAAATGCATATCCTGGGGCCTCATCCCAGACCTACTGAATCAGACACTCTGGGGGTGGGGCCCAGCAGTCTGTTTTAACAAGCTTTTGAGGTGATTGGGACACACGGTCAAGTTTACAAACCACTGCTCTAAAGACCTCACTTCTTCGCAGCAGCAGGGCCCGGAAGTTGGTCAGACTTGCAGGATCTCAGGCCCTGACCATGACCTGCTGAATCAGAATCACATTTTAGCCAGATCCCCAGGGGAGCCGTGTGCACATGTAAATTGAGAAGTGCTGCCTTAAGCCTCTTTCCCCCTTTGATACCGGGAGGGGCCAAGTCTGGAAAGTTCTGGGCTCTGCTTAGACACAGCAGGGGCTCAATGGCTCAATCGCCGCGGAGGAGCTAGCACCATACAGGTATCGGCCACTTACTCCTCCCAATAACTCAGCCAGGTGAGTTCTTGTACTAGCCCCACGCTGTGTAGACCAGAAAACTAAACACAGAGACATTTAAGCAAGTTGTTCAAGTTCATCCAGTTCGTCCTGCTGGTGACTGGCAGAGGCAGAAATCAGTTTGACTCATGTGATGTTCAAGTAAAATCCACGCAGGAAGGGTTTACAAACTGTAGAGTGCTGTACAGCCCACGGGGACTCTATGTTCTTTCCCGCCCTGAGCAAGCTGGGAGGCGGCTCCTCCTTCACGTGGGCCCGCGGAGCTGGTTGGGGAGGCACGCGGGAAGGAGACCAAGACACCGACACAATTAACAATGCGGGCCACGTGTCCGGTAAACGGCTACAGGAACCACTTTTCCTGCCGGGCTCTAAAGTTTGGAAGTCTTTCATTTCATTGTCCTTTCACAGACCTGCAGGCCCGTGACTCAGAGTTAGGCGCTTTACTGAAAGCGGCGCCCCACCCTCTGCCCCCCTAAGGACCCCATGCCCGCCCTGGTGTGTGTGTGTGGGGGGGGGGGCAGAATCCCTGTTGTCGGGAGGCTGGTCTGGGGGTGGGGGCCGCTGGGAGCGCTGTGTGGGGGCTTTTAGACGGGGTGGGGGAGGGCAGGGAAGCCGCCCCCACTCTCCCCTTCCCCCCACCCCCACCCCAAGCAGCCACATTGCTTAGCCGGTGGGGGAACCTCAGCCCGCCGGATCACTTCTCCGAAGTTCCCTCTCTTGCTTGCCATTCAGTCCCTTGAGTTCCAGTTTCCAGGGTCTCCATCCCCGTCGCCCGGAGCCGGGGAGAAGGGCGGGGGTGGTGGCTCCCGGCGCGCTGTGGATGGGGGGGCGCGCGGTAAAGCGATCGCGGGGCCCCCGCGGGAAACAGAGAAAGCGGAGGTGCGTGGCTGCACGGTCGTGGTTGGCTGCCCCCGGGGCGCGCCCGGGGCAGGAAGGGGGCGCGTCCGAGAGCCCCGGTTGCCTGTCCCGCGGGCTCGGGAGAAGGCTGGCCCAGACCCCTCCGGAAGCAGGAGCGGGAGCGTGGGCTGGAGGAAAGGACGCGCAGCCTTCCCCCCCAAACCCCCCCCCCGGGGGGGGCCCCCCCCCCCCCCCCGAGTTCGCCGGCCTTGGCCACCAACGGCCCGGGGAGGGAGAGCAGCCTTCCCGGAGCCCATCCTGGCTGTCAGAGACCCGGCTCATTTCCCACCCACTCCTGTCCCAGGGCTCAGGGTGGTTCGCAACCCTTCCCTTTCACCACCGAGCGGGTGTAAAACCAAGATGACTCGTGTCAGGGTTTGAGGCCTTGGATCTCCTCACTGGGGGCCTTTGAGGAGGTCACTTAACCTCTCTGGGCTTCAGTCGCCTCATCAAGAAATTGGGGAAAATAAAGCACCTACTTCCCCGGCTTACTGGGAAGCCTGGACCAGCTCTTGGGTGTGGAAAATGCTTTAAAGCTCTTGAACAAAAACATATTCTTCCAATTCTTCCACTCTGCACGATGCCATCTGTGGGGCCCGGGTAGTACCCGCTGTGCTTTCTTGAAGGCTTCTATGTCCTCAGATCCATCTAATCCTTTCCACAAAACACCCCTAGGAGGAGGTACTATTATTGTCCCCTTTAGCATCCGTTGTGTGGATTTGGGTGATAATTTGATTAAAGCCCTCTCTTTCTCCCCCCTGGACGAAACTGCTTTCTCTCACTTGCTACTGTACCTGGCACAGTACTTGCTCAATGTTTGCTAGATTCTACTCAGTATCCAGAGGAGGAAGCAGGCTCAGAGAGGCTCAGGAACTTGCCTGGTGCGCACAGCAGTTTGGGCGGGGGTGTAGCACTGAGATTCATCCGACTAGAGGAGGTGTGGTGGTCAGCGCTGGCCTCAGGTCCTCCTGCATCTGGCAGGCTTAGAGCTGGCCCTGGGGTCTCCACACCCAGGGCTCCTGGAGGCTCTGTCCTGGGTTGATGCCCACACCCCCACTCCTCTTCTCCCAGGCCTGTTTAGGTGCACACGCGTGCCTATGGAATCCCAGAAAACACCCTCCTCCCCAGTTCTCCACATTAGCCTCCCAAGAGAGACAAGGGGAGGTAGGGAGAGGACCCCTTTGAGCTGGTCTTGGACTGGTAACTGGGCCCCTCCCTGCCCACCTCCCCGCTCCTCCTATTGGGGGCTTCAGGATGGGAAAGAAGAGGAAATGGGACAGAGAAGCTGGAGCTGGGAAGTCAGTGAACCTGGGGCATCACCCAGGAAAGGGGATGGGAGAGTGGCATGCAGAGAACACTTGTTCCTCATCAGCTTCTCAGGGAAGAAGCCCTCTCCTCAACTGTTAGAAATGAACAAGAGGGCCTGCAGTATGGGAGGCCGGCAATGACAATGGAAATGGACGTTCTGGTTTTCTTTGTTCTGCAACAAAATCAAGATAGGAAAAGAAGGATAAAGACAAACCAGGAGTCATTTCTGGCTGGGAGGAGGGCAGGGGTTAGTCTTCTCGCTGACATGCACGCTACCCTCCCAGGAGATCCCAGGAGAGTACACCTTGGCTGGGGTGCCTGCCTCCTACTCTGGGCCTCAGTTTCCCCATGGGTAGGAGCACGGGGGTTAGGGTGTGTCAGAGTCCTCTCCCAGTATGCAGCCTTGACATCCTCTTCTCCTCTCCCTACTCTCTTTTCTGTTAAGAACCCCTGGCCTTGAACTTGAGGCCCCGCCAGTTGCAAATATTCTTGTTTGGGTCCCTAGTTCCTCCCTTCAGTCAGGCCTGGGGTCTCGCTGTGTGCTCTGTCCCAGGTCCTCTCCGGCCTTCCCAAGGTCTTCAGCTCAAAGGTCAGGGCTATGCCCGGGAGTTTCTGTCTTTGACTGATGTGCAAATCTTCCCGGCCCCAAGCTGAATGGAGGAGATGGGTCTGAGCAGGCTCCAAGAAAGAGCTCCCTGACCTTGGGCAGATCTCGCAAGCTCTCTGAACTTCAGTTTCCTCCTTTGCAAAACAAGAACAGCTACACACGCTGTGCTCGGAAGGCTGCCGAGAAGGTAAAAGGCCATGGGTAACGTGTGCTGGTGAGGCTCTGTCTGGAAGAACCGTAAGGAGAGGTTCTCCTGGAGACGACCTTGCAGAGGTGGTTCATGGTGGAGGTTAGAGATGCTGCTTGTCCTGTGCCACCAGTGTTGTGTGAAAGGGATGCCTCTTCAACGTCTGGCCTTTTAACTATTTTCCCTTCTCTGCTGCTTCTTGGTATCTCTGCTTGGGTCTGTGTCTGGTCACTACGATATCAGCCTCCCAGTGGGGGCATAGTTCCAGGCACAGTCACCAGCGCGGACCAGAGTCCCATCCCAGCCATCCTAGCCCTGCTACTCTCTCAGGAGGCCGGGGTGTCTCTTCCAGGAAGATGGAGGGAGGAGGCTGGTGCTCAGCGGGCGGGCTCTGGAGCCCCGTCCCGCCCCAGACCCTGCATGACCCTCCCTCCATGCCAGAGCCGGCCAGCGGGGCTGTGTTGGGAAACATATGCCCAGAGCAATGCAAACAGGACGTATGCGTGATTGTGGTCTGCACCACGAGCTTTGACACCATCCAAGGTAAACGATTTCATAAATAGCTGTTAGCTTTGGCGGGCCTTCCTAAAGTCAGCAGACAGCTTTATCGGAGCTACGAGGAAGTTCAGACAGACTCGGGGGACATGCCTTTTTGGAGGCCTGTCTCCTTACTCCCCAATTGTCACAGAGTTTAACATAAATGTCTCTCCAAGACCAGATAGAAAGCCACATGCTGTTGACAATGGATCTCTTTTCCCCAGGGGTAAACATCTTTGGGGGCTTTCATGTATGCTACGGAATCAGAACAGTAGGCATCATAGAACAGTAAGTACCACTGGAAGAGACTTAGAGCGGATCTCTGGGCACCTCTCCATTTTACAGGGGAGCCTGGAGTAGGCGAGAGGGGACCTCAAGACCGGGCTGGACCGCAAACCCAGATTTCCGTGACCGGAAGCCATTTCCACGAATTAGGTTGCTTCCTGTTGCGTCCTCTTAAGTATAATGCGGGGGAGGTAAGGTCCACATCAGCCCATTGAACAGAGGAAATGAAGACTCAGACACTAAGGG